GGTGATGCTAGTCTGGTTGGTGAGTGTGGTGAGTAAGCAGTGATGATAGTCTGGTTGGTGAGTGTGGTGAGTAGGCAGTGATGATAGTCTAGTTGGTGAGTGTGGTGAGTAGGCAGTGATGATAGTCTGGTTGGTGAGTGTGGTGAGTAGGCAGTGATGATAGTCTGGTTGGTGAGTGTGGTGAGTAGGCGGTGATGATAGTCTGGTTGGTGAGTGTGGTGAGTAGGCAGTGATGATAGTCTGGTTGGTGAGTGTGGTGAGTAGGCCGTGATGATAGTCTATTTGTTGAGTGTGGTGAGTAGGCAGTGATGATAGTCTGGTTGGTGAGTGTGGTGAGTAGACAGTGATGATAGTCTGGTTGGTGAGTGTGGTGAGTAGGCAGTGATGATAGTCTGGTTGGTGAGTGTGGTGAGTAGGCAGTGATGATAGTCTGGTTGGTGAGTGTGGTGAGTAGGCAGTGATGATAGTCTGGTTGGTGATTTTGGTGAGTAGGCGGTGATGATAGTCTGGTTGGTGAGTGTGGTGAGTAGGCAGTGATGATAGTCTGGTTGGTGAGTGTGGTGAGTAGGCAGTGATGATAGTCTGGTTGGTGAGTGTGGTGAGTAGGCAGTGATGATAGTCTGGTTGGTGATTTTGGTGAGTAGGCGGTGATGATAGTCTGGTTGGTGAGTGTGGTGAGTAGGCAGTGATGATAGTCTGGTTCGTGAGTGTGGTGAGTAGGCAGTGATGATAGTCTGGTTGGTGAGTGTGGTGAGTAGGTAGTAATGATAGTCTATTTGGTGAGTGTGGTGAGTAGGCAGTGATGATAGTCTATTTGGTGAGTGTGGTGAGTAGGCCGTGATTACAGTCTGGTTGGTGAGTGTGGTGAGTAGGCCGTGATGATAGTCTATTTGGTGAGTGTGGTGAGTAGGCAGTGATGATAGTCTGGTTGGTGAGTGTGGTGAGTAGGCAGTGATGATAGTCTGGTTGGTGAGTGTGGTGAGTAGGCAGTGATGATAGTCTATTTGGTGAGTGTGGTGAGTAGGCGGTGATGATAGTCTGGTTGGTGAGTGTGGTGAGTAGGCAGTGATGATAGTCTGGTTGGTGAGTGTGGTGAGTAGGCAGGGATGATAGTCTGGTTGGTGAGTGTGGCGAGTAGGCGGTGATGATAGTCTATTTGGTGAGTGTGGTGAGTCGGCAGTGATGATAGTCTGGTTGGTGAGTGTGGTGAGTAGGCAGTGATGATAGTCTGGTTGGTGAGTGTGGTGAGTAGGCGGTGATGATAGTCTGGTTGGTGAGTGTGGTGAGTAGGCAGTGATGATAGTCTGGTTGGTGAGTGTGGTGAGTAGGCGGTGATGATAGTCTGGTTGGTGAGTGTGGTGAGTAGGCAGTGATGATAGTCTGGTTGGTGAGTGTGGTGAGCAGGCCGTGATGATAGTCTGGTTGGTGAGTGTGGTGAGTAGACAGTGATGATAGTCTAGTTGGTGAGTGTGGTGAGTAGGCCGTGATGATAGTCTATTTGGTGAGTGTGGTGAGTAGACAGTGATGATAGTCTGGTTGGTGAGTGTGGTGAGTAGGCGGTGATGATAGTCTATTTGGTGAGTGTGGTGAGTAGGCAGTGATGATAGTCTGGTTGGTGAGTGTGGTGAGTAGGCGGTGATGATAGTCTATTTGGTGAGTGTGGTGAGTAGACAGTGATGATAGTCTGGTTGGTGAGTGTGGTGAGTAGGCGGTGATGATAGTCTATTTGGTGAGTGTGGTGAGTAGGCAGTGATGATAGTCTGGTTGGTGAGTGTGGTGAGTAGGCAGTGATGATAGTCTGGTTGGTGAGTGTGGTGAGTAGGCGGTGATGATAGTCTGGTTGGTGAGTGTGGTGAGTAGGCAGTGATGATAGTCTGGTTGGTGAGTGTGGTGAGTAGGCAGTGATGATAGTCTGGTTGGTGAGTGTTGTGAGTAGGCGGGGATGATAGTCTGGTTGGTGAGTGTGGTGAGTAGGCCGTGATGATAGTCTGGTTGGTGAGTGTGGTGAGTAGACAGTGATGATAGTCTGATTGGTGAGTGTGGTGAGTAGGCGGTGATGATAGTCTGGTTGGTGAGTGTGGTGAGTAGGCAGTGATGATAGTCTAGTTGGTGAGTGTGGTGAGTAGGCCGTGATGATAGTCTATTTGGTGAGTGTGGTGAGTAGACAGTGATGATAGTCTGGTTGGTGAGTGTGGTGAGTAGGCAGTGATGATAGTCTGGTTGGTGAGTGTGGTGAGTAGGCAGTGATGATAGTCTGGTTGGTGAGTGTGGTGAGTAGGCAGTAATGATAGTCTGGTTGGTGAGTGTGGTGAGTAGGCAGTGATGATAGTCTGGTTGGTGAGTGTGGTGAGTAGGCGGTGATGATAGTCTGGTTGGTGAGTGTGGCGAGTAGACAGTGATGATAGTCTAGTTGGTGAGTGTGGTGAGTAGGCAGTGATGATAGTCTATTTGGTGAGTGTGGTGAGTAGACAGTGATGATAGTCTGGTTGGTGAGTGTGGTGAGTAGGCAGTGATGATAGTCTGGTTGGTGAGTGTGGTGAGTAGGCAGGGATGATAGTCTATTTGGTGAGTGTGGTGAGTAGGCAGTGATGATAGTCTGGTTGGTGAGCGTGGTGAGTAGGCGGTGATGATAGTCTGGTTGGTGAGTGTGGTGAGTAGGCCGTGATTACAGTCTGGTTGGTGAGTGTGGTGAGTAGGCGGTGATGATAGTCTGGTTGGTGAGTGTGGTGAGTAGGTCGTGATGATAGTCTATTTGGTGAGTGTGGTTAGTAGGCAGTGATGATAGTCTGGTTGGTGAGTGTGGTGAGTAGGCAGGGATTATAGTCTGGTTGGTGAGTGTGGTGAGTAAGCAGTGATGATAGTCTGGTTGGTGAGTGTGGTGAGTAAGCAGTGATGATAGTCTGGTTGGTGAGTGTGGTGAGTAGGCTGTGAAGATAGTCTGGTGTGACTGTCGGAGCTGTGCTGGCATAAAGCCTCTTTAAGGTGTCAACCCCGCACCCCACGTCAATTGCGAGTGAATATACGGGCCCGGCAGCATGGATCATGCATTTTCACGCGACGCTGCCCTGCGCTACGATGATGATGATGGCAATAGACTTTGGCGAGCGACTATAATCACGATACATATTTTCGATAGTCGGTGCCGGCCAAAGCGGAGTGAGTAAGCAGGCTCGATACATATTTTGTGCAGAAAGTTGCCGATAAATTTTGCGCGCAAGTGCCAGACTGTGCCGGTGATGGCAGATGTTGAGGACATGTGGGTCAAATGTCAAGGACATGTGGGTCATATGTTGGTATGGCTGCCACCTCCACATTTTCTCTCGCACCACCATGTCTCCCACATTCCCAATTGCTCATCTTATCTTGTTGCACGTTCTTACCTTCCGGTCTCCTACCTCACCTCTTCATCTCCTATCTGTTCACATTTCTCCCTTCTACCTTCTCATCTTTCCATTTCTGTCTCCTCAACTTTACATTACCCGTCAAACGCCCCCCCCCCCCCCACCATCTGTCTCACCCGAGTCGTTGATTTTCAATTTTCTCACCTCTTTGACTCCACGTATCGTTACCTCTCCACTCTCCCACCTCATTGCCTCGATCTCCCAGCTCCTCATCTTTCTTATCTCCCAATCCTCTTCATTTAACTTCACATCCCTACTTCTCACCTCGAAACTTCCTAATTTCCCCCGGTGCAAAAGAAGTTCAACATACGTTCGTCTATTAGTTTTCCAATGTCCCAGCTCTCCATCTCTGTAGGACCCACCTCCTCACCTTTCCCCCTTGTTTCCTCCCTTGCTGTCGGCTCTTGGCAATGAGCTTCCCATCAACGCATCGAACAATTATTTTTACTTGCCCAATTAGCTTTAAAAAAAGTTTTAACATATATAGTCAATACTAATGGGGATGCTCGCACGCCATCAAGGTAAACCCCGTTACAGCGGAGCACATTCACCAGGAGCAGCATCTGTTAGTGACTCATGATTGAGCAGATCTTCTCACCAGTCCTATTGATTCATTTGTTTATATTTACGTTGCCGGCGAGCCTCAACAGCTGACTCCCACTCGCCTGCCTGCTGTTTTCCCTCCCGCTCTCCCTCCTGCTCTCCTGTCCGTCCGCTTGCCCGCCCACTCTGCCTCCTGCTCTTCCGCCCACCCAGTCGCCCGGCCACTCGCCCATTCTCCCTCCCGCGCGCCCGCCTGCCAGCTCTGCCGCTCGCCCACCCACTTGCTCGCCCGTTCTACCTCTTGCTCGTCCGCTCGCCCGCCCACTGTCCCGCTCGCTCTCCTGCCCAGCCACTCACTCATCCGCCTGCTCTCCGACCCGCTGTCCCACCCACCCACCTACTCTCCCGCCTGCTCTTCCACCAACCCGCCCGCTCTCCTGCCCGCTCTCCAGCTCGCCCTGCCACCCGCGCGGCCCACAACCAACCCGCGGGGGCTCAACAGGGTGGCTCAACACGACCCGAGTAAAGTGGCGGATCCACGCAGGTCGCGCGGTGCTGCACGCTGCGTGCATAGCCGGTGGCGGTAAAGGTGCAGCACCGCAACCGCTCTCTCGTTCGCGCCGTGGCTGCCGGCGGAAGTGGCCTCCACTGGAGAGAGTTCTGGAGAGAGCCCCCCCCCCCTTCCAGAGGGCATCGTTGGCATGTTCTTCCACGCTGGCAGGACGTCTTGCAAGAAGTGGGAGAACTCACGATTTACCCCCCCCCCCCCCCCCGTGAGCGATCTTAGCCATGGTGTGCTCCGCTGATGGGTGGACGGATGCAGGAAGATTGAATAGATGCGGCCCATTGTTTCAACAGCAGCTGTGCGGGAGATGGAACCGGCAAACTCCGTATTGCAATCCCCTGTGTCAACCATTACACCCACAGCGTAGCCATAGTAGATATCACATTCGCGCGGCATGTTACAAGTTGAAATTATTCTTGTTGTTGTTACTACAATCGAATTGCATCTGATCGTTAATCTCTCTCGTTGCCGTGTTTGTCTTTATCCTGAAGGCCGTGGAGGCAAACCTCATCGCGGCCGACAGCCACTGGCTCTTCCTGAACGAGGTCAGCGTCGTCACCCACACGACCCCCTGTGACACTGCTGGGGCTCAGTGCCACGATGAGAATTATTCACGATACGATACGCACTCTCGCGGTGTGACCCTCTTTGCGATAAATGAGTCTGCACAGTTTTTCTCGCATTGCCCTTTTTGCTGCACTTCCTGTGCCGGCAAAAGGTCGCTTGAAGGTTCTGAAACTGCCGTTCAATCAACACAAGCCTCATGAGTCTTCCAATCATCGGCGCGTTACAACCTCTAATATGTACAATGCACAGGCTATCCGTTTCGAGATATTTATTTGAATAATCAAATGAACTACGGAAATTAGAGCATCGTATCATCTAATCTAATCTTACCGCAATGCCAGCAATTACTGCGATTTTTTTCTCTCCTGAGAAATAAATGTAATGGATTATTGATATTATTCACAACTGTGATTATTGAGTGTCTGGCAAAGCAATATCTCACCTCCTCGTGGTGCCAGATGGTAGTCACACTGTGGTGTGCGTTGTGCGGCGAGCAGTCCCTTTTCAGAGGAAAGACCCCCGTGGCATGGCTAACGTCCACTCACAACCGCTAACGAAGGGGCTGGCAACCCCTCCACCTATTACTGGGAGACAACAGATAGGTAATCAAAAGTAAAAAAAAAATTGCCAGAGGTGCCCCGAGGAGACGAGCGTCAATACCAGACCATTCCCAGCTTTTCTCTCGGATGAATCAAGATTTTGATTTTGATTCTGATTCCTACTTCTGCGGTGAGGGAGCTAACACGCCACCTTGGGGGAGCCTCCAGAAACAACGGCCATTAAGCTAAAGTATTAAACGAAACCTTTTACTTTACCAGGTAAGGCCCACCGAGCTTTAGAGCTCTTTTATTCAGAAGCGACCTGGCCACAAATGATTGCTCAACGGAGTGACTTATCACCACGTGGAAATTTATAGCAGCCAAATACTCCAAACGCGTGTTTCTAAATGTGGTGGGAAAAAGCCTGTAGGACCCGGAGAAAAATCCACATGACCACAGGGAGAACATGCAAACTCTAAATATACAGCCGTCAGGGTTGAGATCGAACCCACGTCCTCCTCTACACCAGGCGAGATAGTTAACATCTCACCACCGTGGCGCTCCATTCTCTGCGGCTGCCCCCCTCGCCCCGTGGAATGTCTGAATGCTCGCTGGGGGAGGAATTCCAGTTATTGGAAGCTTGATCAGTACAGCCCTGGGACATCTGTGAAATACAGGAGGGTCCGGTGGACTGGTTCCATCACTACGAGGGGTGAACGTTACTCCACTCGGGGCATGATCCAATATTATTAAAGGGCAGGGAGTGGCTCTTCTTCTGCATGTGGTACATCCCCTAGGCTTTTGTGGGCTCGCCTCTCCATCAACAGGAGGCGAGTGGTTGCCCATTTCCCCTGCCGAAGATGAGGGACAAGGGAAAGGCTGACGAGACGTGCCTCATGTGACCTCCTTTGACAGGTGTTGGCTAAAGTGTCCCCCTTTCGATAGGAATCTGACTCGGCTATCTTGAATACCCGATTGGGTTATGAAACTAGCACTTTAGGTGGAGAGTGATTGGAAGGCATCGGTCCAGATCAGCTCAACAACAATGGTGAGCAGCCCATACTTTTCTGTGCAGGCTTGTAATTACCATCACGCTATTCTGTTGGAGGTGCATCAACTGATTGCAACGATTGCACTGATTGCAGCAAATGCCGGGGCAACTGACTGCCAGAAATAATTTAGTTCAATCTTTCCAGGCATGCTGAGAAGAGGCTCATGGAGTGTCAATTTGGTTTCAGGCCGGGTCAGTCCTGCATGGATGCCATGTTTTCTCTCTACATCAGAGGTGTGGGTTATTTCAACAGGACCTACAATGACCTGGCCAAGACCTATGGGTTGTCCCTGGCCCTTTTGCTCACAACCATTTAAGGACCTTCCAGATGGTGGGCAGGCAAGGGGGGGAGGGGACAGCTGCGTGGCCAACCGTCACAATTGTTCCATGACAGCGGATAGCCTTCTGGCCTCCGACACAATTTTAACGCCTCCTTTTGACCCCGTACTTTGAGAAGCCTTCTGAGGCCGTCCCAAAGGTCGACTGGCCGTTAAGTGGGTACCTGGCACGGTGTTTTATTAATTCGCGCCAGGGAGCCAGGCGCAGCCATCTCGGTGCAAGCTACACAACTCCTTCCTGCTTCCACTTTGGCTTGAGTCGCTGCTCACCAACAGCGCTTGCTCCAACAGTCTGTTGACAATAATCATTTGTACTCATTAGGCGCCTTTCAAGTCGAATCAGCCTCAAGTGCGTACCTGGTGCGATGAGTAAACATCGCCACTGAGAGAGACAAAGGCGGTCGGGAGTGGTATCTGGCCACCCACCCCCTCGTGTGCCGTGCCGGCCTTCATAGGTGCTGCTCACTAACAGCACTTGCCCCTACAGTCTGTTAGGCTATACCGGGGCGGGGGAAATGCGGATCTTTGTCTTCGTACTTGTGTGTGTATCTATGTGCTAACCTCCGATTAGCACGGTTGACTACGTGAGGTATGAAAGATCGTCAACATACAAAGGAGGTCCCATGATGTAGCCGCTCATCCCGAGCTCTCATTACTCTGATGGTGGCATTGTCTTTGTGCTGTTCGCCTTTTGGCGTCCTCTGGTCTAACACCGTTTTGAGACTCGGCTCGAAAGAAAGCCGTCTCTGATGTGGACTAATCAGTTTCTAAGACAATGCATATATTATCAGAGTATGTTTTTTTTTGCATTCTGACCACAAGTATTGTGGTTAATGCAGACATCATTCTATGTACAAAGTTTGAGTTTGGTGTTTTAACATCATAACACCTGTTTTGTTGCCAGAAAAGAAGTGGAAAACCCTATTCTCATACATATGTATATGTATGTACGTGTCTGTGTGTGTCCTTGTGTAAGTGTGTGTTATTGTGTATGTGTGTCTTTGTCCATGTGTGTGTGTGTCTATGTGTGTGTGTCTTTGTCTATGTGTGTGTGTCCTTGTGTAAGTGTGTGTGTGTGTCTATGTGTGTGTGTCTTTGTCTATGTGTGTGTGTCCTTGTGTAAGTGTGTGTGTGTGTGTGTGTCTATGTGTGTGTGTCTTTGTCTATGTGTGTGTGTCCTTGTGTAAGTGTGTGTGTGTCTATGTGTGTGTCTTTGTCTATGTGTGTGTTTCCTTGTGTAAGTGTGTGTGTGTGTCCATGTGTGTGTCTTTGTCTATGTGTGTGTCCTTGTTTAAGTGTGTGTGTGTGTCTATGTGTGTGTGTCTTTGTCTATGTGTGTGTGTCTTTGTCTATGTGTGTGTGTCTATGTGTGTGTGTCTTTGTCTATGTGTGTGTGTCTATGTGTGTGTGTCCTTGCCTCTGCGCAGGAGGTGAGCCTGGTGGAGGTGCAGGAGCTGGCGCGTGTCTCCGTCGGCCGCCTCACCGTGCTGCGCCAGGTGTTCCCCGCACCGCGCGACCCGGCGCACAGGTGCGAGCGCGACGGGCACCACGTCTCGCCGGCGCTCTGCGACCCCCAGGACCCCGCCTACATGACCCCTGAGGTAAGCAACGTGTTACCCCCCCCCCCCCCCCCAGGAGAACCCCCAGGTGACCAACGTGTCCCACAATTCGTGGGGCATGGGTGGGTGGCCAGCACCACGCCCGGCCATCTTTGGCGATGTTAACACACCACACCAGGTACTCATTTGAGGCCGAGTCGACCTAGGTGAGGCCGGTTTAGGTAATCGTCACTGGTGATGAACGTAATCATCACCAGTGACAATTATCTGAACTAGTCCAGACATCGACGCCTGCACAGACATGCAAGGGCAACACACATACCAAGATCTGCTGTTGAGCTGTGAGGTCACCCCTCTGCCATAAGAATGTGGAATTTCCGCCGCCGGCTCAAGGCTCTACATAGCAGCACACAGTGCCTCCTCCGCCTGTTTGAGCAACTCAATGTAACCCCTATTGTTGCCGTTCAGACTGCGAGACAGCAACCTTGCGATTCAATATAACCACACGCTGTCGCGCGCGCAATCGAACTCCAAAACTACGACCTCCGGCACTTCGCCTTGGACGATGAAACGCGACGGGGGCGGTGACGGCGTCTGCGGCTGACATCGCCTTTCACGCCGTGGCAGAAAACCTGCCTTTATCCTCGCTTGGCTAAGGACGAGCGGCACAATGCCCTGTTTTATTTTGCTTAAATATGAACAACGTGATTTCTAAGTGGCCGTTCTCACCGCGCTCGCCTCGCTGTCGATCCGAGTCCAGGAGTCCTCGTTCCCCGCAGGACGGTCTCTTCAACGAGAGGGGCGGCGTTCTAGAACAACAACAGCAACCGAGGAAAGGGGATGGATGCTCCACGTGGCAATTTGCAAATTGCTTTTTTATTCCCGCGGAGAACCCAGTCGCACTGTCTCAGCAGCTCCGCTGTAATTAGAGACAATGTTCGCAGGACTTTGTCCGGTTTTAAGGCAGCGCAAAACATCGCGAGCGTCACTGCTCCCCCTGGGCGAAAGGCATTTCCCGGGGTGCCGGTGGGATTTGGGTGGTCTGTGGAAAGAAGGGGGGAAAGGCAAGCGTTGATTCCGGTCACGGTGCCTGGCAGCCTCTGGGTATTTGACATTGAGGACATCCTCCTCTACCTCCTCCTATTCAGGTTCAGAATTTATATTTTTTTCTCTTTTGAGCTCTGGCTGATTCTGACCATGTCTACCCCATCCCGGTGTCTCTCTACACCAATTGTGTTCTCATTCTTAAGATGTTCGTAACCCCGCTCGTAGCTGACACACCAAACCATTCATTGCAACATCGCTCACGATTTCATTTGCTGTGCGGTTAACACAATTTTGGACTTGCAATCCAGAGGTCACCGGTTCTATCTCCCGGCATGGCAGTTAAAACATTGACCGGTTCCTTCCAATCCCCCACCCCACTTCGGACCACCCCGCAGGACGTTCGGATTTTCGCGACGGTCGCTCTCACCACAGTCGTTCAGTCGGCCCAGGTGCTGGTCAGACGTTCATCTTCTTGACGAGCGTGGACGATGGGCCCAAGTGCCCGCTGAGAGGGGGCTCTTGAGACTTGCTCGTTGTGTCCTTCCTCTCCCCGGCGCTGTCAAAATATGCACGACTCCCTTCGCGCGAAAGCGCTTGAGATGCGGTCTTTACAAATTCCAAATTACATCACGGCGCGTAAAAGGAACACGGGTGATTAGATTTTTTCATTTTCTTTTTTTTACAATTTCCTCGCACTCGCTCCTTAATTGCTCGGATGGCTTTTGTTTTCGGTCGTGCTTTCATTAACTCAACAACAATAACGAAAATGCCTCTGGCGACATCTGTCATCTGCATAATCGCAGCTCTCTCGCGCCGCCCGTGTATTTCAAGGGCGTCAGGTTAGATGAAAAAAATAAATAACCCCCAGAGACGATACCGACGCAGCAGATATTGTGTTCATACCCACAAAAAAAAATGCCTCCGAAATTAATGTATGACATTTTTTTTCCTTCCTTTTTTATGCTTTTAATCAACATTATTCTAATGGGATCAACTTAGAGACTAATGTTGCTTGGGTAATTTTGCCGCGCGGTGAAATCTGTCGCTTGCGTTGAATTTGACCGTCGGGCTGCCCTCCACCCCCCCCCACCGCTCCTCTTTCCGCCTCACTCTCCGCTCCTTGGGCTCGGGGCTGCCAAAATATTGTTGCGGTCGCTTTGCTTTGGTAAAAAAAAAAAAATACATTTCTAGATAAAAACTTCTAAATGTTAACGGAAGCAGCACAACGCTCACAGGCGTCAGGTAAAGTAAAACCAATCTATATAACAATAATAAAACAAATTATAGTTACATAATAAAAACAAAAGGCACAGCCTTGCAATTGCTGGCTCACGCCACTGCTAGGCAGCATTTTGGGCCCACTCCTCCACCCTGGCTAGAGGCGTCTTGCAAAAGATGGGAGTTACCCACACTTGACCCCACCCGAACGCGCGACCTGTCGATCGCCGAACTGTGATGCACCCCTGCACGTCCGATTAGCGCGGTCGGTTACGTACGGCGCGAAAGAAGTTCAACGCACGTGGACACGCACGTGCGGCAATGCGATTGGGCACGTGCCAGTTAGTCGACCGGTCGGCCGGTCGACTGGGGGTGGGGTAAAATGTGGGGAGGCCCACCTCTTCCGAGACGTCTTGGCCAGTGTGGAAGCGTAGGCCAAAACACCCTCTAAGAGGGGCTTCCTCGAGCTCCGTCTAGACCAGGGGTGGCCAACCTTGTAAGGTCGGCTGGAGAATTCCACTCCACGTGCGACCTGCTGATCAAGCAGCTGTGGTGCTAACCACTGGGTGGACCCCACGGGAAAACGGATTAAGCTGGGGTTTGGAATCGAACCGGTGCCTCCTGGATTGGCAAGCCGGGCGGTGGTGGCTATACACGTGGCCCAGCACTGTGGATGCGATGGTTGGTGGTGGGGGGGGGCAGAGATCAAATAGATCTGCATCGTCATTTCACTTGCCGCTCCGAGAGATGGAACGGGCGACCTCTGGATTGCAAGTTCAGTTTGCTAGCAATTACGATGGCGTGATATTTGTTGCAATGTTTCGTCATTTTTTTTATACGTTGGTTTAAAAATTCGACAACGTGTTGAATGAAAGTATTTAATATTTCCTCAATTAGCGGACATCACGTGAAATCGATCTCGAGCTCACCCATTATATTTAATTTTCCGGCGGCGGCATTTGTGCGCAAAACCTAAGTTCCTTAAAGCCCCATCGACCCTGTCCACCCGGTGGAGCAGACGGGCGCGATACAGTTTAGTCCTATTTTATGGTTCTGTCGGTAAATTCTAGATTTGAAGTTTTCGTGACTTGCAAGGATTCATACTCTTTGTTGTTTTTCGGTAAAGTCACGTAGGTAAAAATTGTAATTTTTTTATATTAAATGAAATTTCTTTCTTTTTTCATTAATTTTTTTCTCTCGGTAAAGTCACGTAGATAGAAAAAAGAATAACAATGAAATAAATATTCACTTTATTGTTATCTACGCGACTTTACCAAAAGAACCATAGAATATGACTTCATGCAGTCACGAAAGTTTTAAGTCAAAATTTACAATTCAGTCCATCGCTGGGTCACGCGTGGGTGGTGTAAATTGTGAGTGCTTCCACATCTTCCGCGATGTGCGGGCAAAAATTCCCTTCCAGAGTACACAGAGAGAACTCGTCACAGCTCTCTCTAGTGGGCAGGGAGTGGCCCATCCGCCAGCGGTTGGCATGAGCAAGCAATTGCAGTGCTGCACCTTTACCTGTATCCCTATACGCACGGCGAGCAGCGGGGCACGGCTGTGAGAGTCAGAAGCAGAATATTTATTTATGCCGGATGAATCCGATGAGATATAGAGCCTCTTTGTCACAGATGTCCAGGAGGGGGTGGATAAGAACGTCACAGCAACAAATCATATAAAAAACACGATAGGAGTGCAAATTACAGGCAAGGTAAACACATCACTTTCAAAATATCTATACAAATAAAAGTAAAAACCATTTTTTTTATTTTACTAGGTAAGGCCCACTGAACGTTTATCTTCTTTTTCGGGTGCGACCTGGCCACAAATGATAGCTCAACCAAGTGGCTTATCGTGTAGAAATCCACAGCAGCAGAATAATCTCCATAATCTCAGACGCATCTTTCTGAATGCGGAGGGAAAAAAAACCCGGAGGTCCCGGAGGAAAAACATCGTCGCAAAAACGATGGCGAACGCCTACTAAAGCCGCCCGTTACGTTCCAGCCGCCGCACGAGGCCGCTGCCGGCAATGACCTTGGACGCCGGCCAGTAATCCGGAATCGATACGGGCCGGGGGGGACGCTAAATCAGGATGGCATTGGTGTCTGGTCAATGTAGTTCATGTCGGTGCGGAGCCGTGATGGGGCGGGAGAGGCAGTGGGGGCTGGTGACGGTGGGGGGGGGGGCTGGAGGAGTATGGGAGGCTTGGCTGCAAACCCGGCTGTAAATACTGACATCACAGACAGTGGGTGTTTACCCAGGGAATCCCAATTGGATAGCCGGGGCAATTGCGAGCAGCCAGAGCGATTTCCACCCCCACCACCTCTCCCTCTCCGGGCTTTGCAGCGGAAATAAAACGGAGGTGTATACGTTATATAAATGTGCCAACATGCGTGCACACACACACACGGACAAAGATCTCCCACGTAGTGTACACAGGCTGTTGGGACAAGTTCTCTTAGCGAGCGACCTTTGAAAGACAGCGCTGGGCTTGAAGGATGGTGTGGCCTGCGCTGCGCCCGGTCGCCTTTTACCTCCCCCAGTTCTGATGGTTACGCACCACACCAGGTGCTTCCTTAAGGCGATGTCGACCTAGGGGAGGCCCAGTACGGGTTCAAGTGATCGTCACTGGTGATGTCTGTGAGCGGGAGACGATGTCCGTGGATGATGTTGGCTGTGGCATGGCGTGGTGGCAAGGAAATGTCGCCTCTCTCGCCTAGTACACGGCATGTCGATTGACTATGCCTGTTGTATATTTGGAGTTCGCGCAATCT